TTTCCTTCCAGTAGGGACGGGTCTTAGGCCACAATGACGGCCCGTTCAGTTAGCAGTAGTTTCCGGAATTTGATCCGATGCAGTAGCTAGTATGTTTGATGCCTTCGTGGCTCAGACAGGATTTGTGTGCTATGTTTATATGTGCTATGTATTATGTGTTCCGGGCTACGGCCCGATGTAGTATGCAGTATATGTGTTCATGCTAGTTGCTATGTTATGCTACGCTATGCTCAGTCAGTTAGTTCCGGACTTCAGTCCGATGCAGGGGACAAGGTCCCAGTCGGTTCCGGACTTTGGTCCGATGCAGTCGGTTCCGGACTTTGGTCCGATGCAGTTAGTTTCGGACTTCGGTCCGATGCAGTTAGTTCCGGACTTCGGTCCGATGCAGTTAGTTCCGGACTTCGGTCCGATGCAGATAGTTCCGGACTTTGGTTCGATGCAGGGGACAAGGTCCCAGTCAGTTCCGGACTTTGGTCCGATGCAGTTGTCGGGCTTCGTCCCGATGCAGTGAGCAAGGCCCAATATGTGTTTATATGTTATTGTATGGTATGTGGTAGTTTGGGGGAGCTCACTAAGCTTCGTGCTTACAGTTTCAGTTTTGGTTTCAGGTACTTCCGCAAGCAAAGGGAAGAGCTCGGGGTGACGGCATCGCACACACCACAACTTTAGCTTTTAGCCTGGGATTGGTTTAGTTTGTTTTGATTTGACGTAGTATGATACAGTTTCCGCACAGTGTTTTCTATTATGTTGGAATACATCACGTGTGGTTTTATTATATGACACTCTGATTATGGTTTTGATTATATCGAAAAACGAAATTTTTGGGTCGTATTTTTGGGTTGTTTCATTAGTGGTTTGCTTTTAAAATGTGGTGTTATAACAGTGATCATTTTATAATTGTCGAGCAGGGAAGAGATATGGAACATTGGTAGCGGGTATGTGTTGCATCAAGGATTCGCATATCATTTTAAAAGCAATATGTTTATTTATGTGATAATCATTGACTGTTGGTCATCATTACTCAACAGAATGGAGTAACTCGGGGATGTAGGATCAGTTCCTAGAGTATTCCTTGACACAATTTTTTTGGTAAGTATTTAAATTAAAACTAGTTCCAGTCAAATAATATGTGTTTTATTGATTGGTTTATTAATCTGTACAGGCAGAAGAGATACTGGGTGGATCATTGTCACCTGAAAAAAGTCAAAAATTATTTGATTCGATGTTGAAACTCCACCTTAAAAGTCTACCAAAACAAGAAAAGTTGAAGGATATTGGACTGATGAATTAATTAAACCATGTTTTTTTATCAATTACAACCATAACATAAAATACTATCTTATTGGACCACTATGTGTTTTGTAATAGGTTTTCTTCTTAATAGGTGATAAAAGCAAATATTATCTTATATGCTTTGATCTAAGGGTTCCAACATACTACATCATAGACCATGTGATCCAAAATGGTTCTGTTGAGGAAATCTATGGAATAAAACACATTCATGTGGTATGTTGAAGCTTTATTATTTGAAAGATTTAAAATACGTGAGTTTAATATTGAATTATAAATTGATTGTTTAGTATCGCAGAAAAAGTTGCTTGGGAACTATTTGAAAACAGAGAATTACCAAAAGTCAACAGCTTTCAACAAGATTAAAGCTTGTGTAATGAAAATGACATGGAAAGTAGAGAAAGAAGGATCAGACTGTGGAGTATATCTTATGAGGCATATGGAGTCATATATAGGGGAAAATGAAGGGTGTTGGGATTACCGTTTTACAAGAAAAAACAGATTGATTTACTTGCATTAAATAATCTATGAATCAAATACATGGCAAAGCTTATGAAATCAGAGTACAAAAAACATAAAAGTATGTTGGAGAAAGATGTAGAAGCATATGAGAGGCTTGATCCATTGCAGATAATGGCTATAATGAATGAAGTGAAGGAAACCAGGGAGAAGCAGAAATGTGGAAGGCGTCGATTTTAAGATGGGAGTGTTATGATGTTAGGATGGTTGGTTTTGAAAGATGTTTGGTAGTATGTTTGGTTTAAGTCTATGTTTTTTATTTTGGTCTAGTATTGTGTGTTTTGGGGTAACAGTTTAACATGGTATGATTGTTATATGGTGTAAGACTTTTGGTAACATTGTTTGTTTTGGTCTAACTTATTTGCTTGGGGAACAATATTGATGTATTTTATTATGTTCTAGAATTATTTGTTTTTTAGAAACAGGTTAAAGTGAATGGTGTTTGTTGTAGTAGAATTTATTTTTTGTTAATTGTTACTACTTGATTGATGTTGGAATGTGTATATGGATATGAAAGCTATCAAAATATGCAATGTGTTGGAAGATGATTTGTAATGTACAGGTAAGTTTAGTTTATAAATCATACATTAAAATATGCATTTGTTGTGGTAGTTTGATACAAGTTAGTGTAGATAGTTTTGGTGTATGTAAAATGTTTTAAGTATAATTACATGATATTCTGATGGAATGTATATGTTTGAGTATAATGGTAGAATGTATGAAGATTATGATTTACCATGATTGTTTCGATGATATATGTCATATAGGATACAAAATAGTCATGTGTAAGAATTGTTAGATTTGACTGTACGTAATGTTCTGGAAGAATATAACAGCTTATGTTACAAATGGTAAAGTGTAACAAAAATGAGTTGTTGAAACATGGTTTGTAATGAACATGTATGTTTTGTTTTTCAAGAATAATATGTGTATATTTGCCCTATCCATTAAAAAAAGAAACTGCTAAATGTTATGTTTACAAGATATTCTGACAGAATATATGTGCTTTTTGCAAGTGGTAGAATGTATGAACATTATGAATTTTCTTATTTGTTTCAATTTTGAATTTCAGATAAGATGCACATTAATCGTGGTAGAATGTATGAAGGTTATGTTTTTACATGTTAGGATACTCATTAACGGTAGATAAGAATTGTTACAAAATATGCAAAAGTGTATAACAATGTATGACAATTTTATTGAATACGGGGAAATTTGTAAGCAGTAAAATAAATAAAGATGAAACAAAAAAGTTTTAATGTAATATAATATTAAAAGAAAAACTACATATAAAGCATACTACTTAGACATGTTTTTTAAGAGGACAATTTCGTTTATCATGGTTAGCCATTTGTTTACATAAAGCACACTTTCGCTTAGGCTTCGAGCCAACTTTTTGCAACATTTTTTTTTAATCTCTTGCCACGATTGTCAGTTCCCTTATTACGAATATCTGATGGGTTGTCAATATCGGGAGCATCATTACTTAATTCTACGCCTATAATCTGGTTGTAGAATGCTTCTCTTGATGGCATCTCAGGGGCTGGACAATCATCTACAAATTTTTTCTTCAGCTTATTCAACTCTTCAAGGTATGACTTTAACTTCGATGCATCATGGCTTAAATATGAAACACAACGATCTATGTTTGAAAATTTTTCAATAGTTGTCATGTCAGAGTTAGAGTCTAGTAAAGAATTAGAAAAAACGCCTTTTAAGCAATTCTGTTGGAACAACATCCCGACGCCACCATTTCATAATGTATTCTTGATGAATCTGTTCAATACTATAGAACTTAAAAACACAAAATATGTGCCTACACAAAATACCGACATATTTAAAATGCATGCAGGTACATTTGTATGAACCATCTGTTGTTGAGTGTGTAACCTGGAATATGTATGAAAAAAAAAATACGAGTTTCAGTAATAAAGTATTGTTGTGTGATTAAAAAAATAATTACGCATTGGTAAAGTAATAACATACGTTGTATTGGGTATCCTCTGTAAGATGATCATAATGGTATTCCTCAAGTTTGTCATGAATAACAGGACTTGATGGTTGCCTTGTTGTTATGTTCTTTTGCTTCTCCAAAACAATAATAGTGTCAACACACATATTAGAAGTAACACTCATTTGGAAACAAGTGTTATCAGAATCTGATATCTCTTTCTGCACCTGATAAAAAAATTTACGAGTGTAAACCTTTGAAGCATGTGCTTCAATTGGACCAGATGTGATGAATCTAGGAAGTGTTGTAGCAGTGTTAAAGTCGTTGACAACATGATTACATCTTTGCCGTTCCATAACAGCCTCAAATGTCATCATAAACATTAAAAGATAAGAACCCGTAAGGGTATTGTTCTGAAACGACCAATTTTGGCCTTCCGACAATGATGTAGTTCTCCTAAGACCAGACATCGGTATGACCTTGAAAAATGTAGGTATCCAACATCTACGCAACCCATACATCTCTTGCAACCACTTGTTATTTGAAATGTTAAACTCATTTAAACAAGATTTCCATTTCTTTTCAAAATCATGTGGTTCCAGCTTAGAATTCCAAATTATAGAGTGAAAACGCTTTCGAAATATATATGAAAAAATATATATGTTAGTATAAAATAAATAATTGTGTTGCACAAGGAATGCAGGATCTGAATGGTGTAAACTTTGAATTCCAACAAAATGTTCTTTAAAACTCTTAAAGAATGTATCTTAAAATCTAGCAAAAGTCGGTAATGAATTGTAGTTGTGGCATAGATTTTGTTCTGAAATATTTTATTTCTAATTGAATAATATGTGCTAACAAGGTAAACATAGTGAGTTTGGGTTGAATATAAAAAAAATATTGACCTTGTTTGGAAGTTTTTTTGTAATATACCACATACAAAACCTATGTGCTGACATTGGAAATACTTCATTAACAGCCTTGTTTAAAGCTGGATCTTGATCTGTAAGAACAAGTGTAGGTTGTTTTTTGAATGATTTAAAAAATGCTTTAAGCAACCAGGAGTAAGAACTAGCATCTTCTCTACTCAAAAGTCCAGCGCCAAAAGTCACACATTTCTTATGATTATCTATCCCAGTGAGAGGTACGAAAACCATATCATATCTGTTTAAAAACATAAAACTTGGTAAGCGTTATTGGAATCAAGAAAAATTATGTGAAAAGATTGCAAAATTTAATATTATTTATTCATGAGGAATGTGGAATCCAAAGAAACAACGTCTCCAAAAGCTTTGTAGTTGTACTTTGCAGTTTCGTCAGCCTAAAAAATTGAATTCAATTTTTTCTCAAAAACTCTAAAATCGAAAGAAAAACTTGGGATATTTTTTTTCCTCTCCAGCATCTTCAATACAAGGAATTTTGGAACCCTGACACCTATGTAAGAATTGAGATTTCTCGTATTGTTCTTGAAATCAGAAACCAACCCAAATCGAATGTTAGAACCACCTTGAAGTCCATAATACAATCTATGTGCTCTTGAGGCACTAATATTTTGCTTTGACAAGTTATGAATAAACATCTCCTGTGAATAATCAAGTTTCCTCTTTGTACGAGACAAAAACATATTGTCCTTACCAAACAACATATGATTATGTTGTTCAACAAATTTAGCAACATTATATTTATTAGTACCATGTAGTAGAATAACAACAATTTTCGCTTTGCATTCGCACCTAAATGAATCTTTCCTTCTCTGAATCTTATTATGTTGGGGGTCCAAAGTATCCACTTTAGCGGTTGTTGGTTTACCTTCCCAATTGCATAACAAATGTCGTTGTGTGGTAATGCCAGATTCGGTTGTTCTAAATGGTCCAAGCCTGACATCAAAACCTGCTAATGATGCATAATTGTAATACATTGATAATGCTGATGTATATGAATCAAAAATTGAATTGATTTTAGGTTTGATGTTGTCTGAAACAACAGGAATCCAATACGATGATCCACCAGGAGAGACATAATCATGTGTAACATGCAATTGTTCTGCATAAAAGAAAATTTAAAAAAGTTTCAAAGAATTAATCTAGTTTATTTAAAAAAATTTATCATATACCAACCTTTCTGAAATTCAATGTTATCATCGTCTATAGTATAATCTGCCTCATTATCATTGAACTCGAATCCATTTTCTGCATCTTCTAATAAGGGTATGTGTAATGGATATGTAAATATATATAAAAACGGAAAAAATACTTAAAATACATCACCTGGGTTATGATTACTAGATTCACCGAAATGATATTCGGAATTGTCATACATGTGATCTTGAATGTGTTCTAATGGATCGTCATCTTTGCAAGTGCAAGTTATGCCAAAACACAAAAAACAATAGAAAATTTCAACATTATTATTATACAAAATAACACATATTAAAAACTTATAAAGTAAACTCACCTAAATATAGATTGCTACTCTCAGATATTTGAAATTCAACATTATGTAGAGAGTCATGATCCTGTAACCCGAAATTTTCATACTCCATAGGAAATTCATGTTGATCATGAATATGATCGTCACCAGCTGATACTGTATCATCCATAAGATAAGTAACAGCACGATTGAACACCAGTTGATATGAGAAAGCAAAATAAATGCAATGTTACAAAATTTGAGCCAATTCAGTATATATTAAAAAAGGAGAAACCGTGTAATTGATATGTAACTAAAAATGCGTGATATCTGTACTCATTGTTATCAAATATTTGGTTTTTTAAAATTTTTAGAAAGATTGTAAGGATAAACAACACAAAATCGTTTTATTCATCATGATATTGTAAATGTTTGACATATTCAACTTCCAAATATAATAAATTGCGTATATATGACTTCAACACATCTTGCATTTTAAATTAAACTTATAAAAAATTAATTATGCAGACTTTAAAAAAAATTAATTGAATTTACAAATGATTTCTAGTTTGTTATGACATAAACGCGTATATGAAATAATCAATTAATATCACAAGCGTGTTATTCTGTGAGAAAATCACAACCAAGATCTACAATAAAAATATTTTTCACACATTTGTTCTGTATATTCTCATACAACTTAACACAGACATACATATACCACGGTATCGTGATACAACAATCTTATTCTATAAAACTATACGTGATAATAATAACATCAAATTTATTTTTCTCCTATTTGACCTGTATATTGTGATACAAATTAGCATTCTGGTAGAATTTCATCCAAAGAATTCTAAACATAATCGTTGACTAATCAAAATGTAACAGGAAATTAGAAACACTTATTCTGTACGAATAATAAGCATTGTGTTTTTTTAATGTATATTGTAATCAACATTTACATTATACTACTTTGGATAAAAAGAATTGTGTTTTTGTTTGTTCTGTACGAATAATAAAAATTATGTTTTGTATCTCACATTCTTACAGAATGTGTACATATGACATTAAGTACAACACAATTTACGAACAACTGTTATATCCAGAAACATTAGAATAAAAATACATTTACAACGGCATGTCTGTATTCATATGATAAATAAGAAAATGTATGGAATTTTAATCAAACTCAAAATGAGAATTATTAATATTAATTGAATGAAAACATAAACTTACAAGGATAACCCTCTATAATTCATGAATCGATATCATTATTATACTTAAATAAAACTCCATAAAATCATATAAGACTAAATTGAAAACATTATTCAGATCCTAAAATATGTTGACGAGGTAAAAATCTACTATCTGTTGACCCTTGCTTGAGGATAATTCCTCCTATCATGACCAACACCAAAACAAATCCCACATCTTCTTATTTTCTTCCGATCATCATGCACTTGGAATTGATTGACATTCTGATCATTGTTATCAGAAAAGTCCTTCTTATTATTATCAATATAATCTTTGTTCTAGAAACAGAACAATAAAGTTGAAAACATGAATTTCATCACTGGAATATCGTAAAGAACAAATATGAGATTAATCATATAAATGATTATTCTTAACTATGAATATACAAAAATTTATATGCACATGATAAACGATACTTCAAAAATATAAAAAAATCCATGAACAACATACCTCCATTAACGAACTATCAGAATAAGAAAATTTCTCTGAAGATGATGAACTATGAATCTGCAATGGATTGAAATGTATACGACATATATATATATATATATATATATATATATATACACACACACACACACACACGTTATTTTCGTTGATAAAATGCATATTTAATAGTCTGATATTTAGGAATTTGATTGATATCAATCAAAGTTTAATTAATTGGGAAAAAATAAATTATATTGCAAGATTACATTAATACCCTTTAGAATAATTGGTCCACATTTGTCTATACCATAACACAATACTTAGTTTAAACAAATGAACCTATATATATATATATATATATATATATATATATATATATATATATATATATATATATATATATATATATATGGCATAGCGTTATATTGTAACTGTTATTGAACGCACTAAGCGTCACTCGCTTATCCCACTCAATGTTTAATTATTGCAGGTGATAAGTATCTAGTATAGTTATGTACTGTTAGAAGATGTAGAATAGATAATATTATAACTTTTGTATTTCGTGTATAAATCTCTAGGAAGTTATGTAATATATAAAACTTTGTAAAAATCTTAATAGTTTGTTTGTATCCACACGACTGTAAATTATATTATAAATATGCATGTAGCATGTTTGGAGTAATAATATTGTAAATGTATTAGAGAAATATGGGTTCTCTCAGTCATGGTATCAGAGTAGTAGTTTAAGTGAACTAAATCCTACGTATTGGTATTTAGACATAAACTATTGGAAGTTCAATATATGAACGGATTCATTGTAAGAATATGGATACAAAACATAGGAAAGACATAATTGAAGTATTAGGTAATAATAAATCATAATATTCTAAAATACTATATAACTCCGAACTTTCAGAGAAATGGCTAAACAGTTGAGTAGCCATACACCAGATGTGGGTGGAGAACCATATCCTGATCAAGTAAATAATCCAGTATCCCCCCGTGAGGAGCGACTCTTGGATAAACTTACTGGTGGTATTTGGTAGACTCTCAAAGAACACAAAAAGGATAGTGATAAAGGTAAAGAAAAAGCCACCGGATAATCTTCAAAAAGGGAGGTGAAAGATCCCTCATTCGAAACTTTCAAGAGTAATGGTGCTACAGAGTTTTCAGGTGTTCTTACATGGATCCGGAACACAGAAAAATTATTCTGTATCTCTCATGTAGTTAATGAAGACAAGGCCAATTATGCTTCTGCAATGCTCATCGGAGAAGCCTTGGTCTGGTGGGAAGCAACATTCGAAGCTCTCAACAAGTATGACCAAGAGAATTATCTTGGGAAATGTTCAAAACTCACTTTCTAGGAAAGTACTATCCTCTAGATATGAAGAGAAGATTGGAGAAAGAATTCATCGAGCTTAAACAGGGAGGAATGACGATGAATGATTATGAAACTCAATTCAATGAAAAAGCACGGTTTGCTTCAAAGTATATGATGGGTTTTGGTCACAAGACATCCTATGTGCTCATACAAACCCTAATGCTTGGATCTAGGTTTCTCTATTGTACATGCTTTGAATCCAAGACTATAAACCCTAATTCTAGCATGCAAGTAATCATATTAACATAAGAATAGGTTTATAATGTTACCTTGATTGCTATGTAGCAATAACAATCCCAATTCCTCCTTGAATTGACTTTGGAATGCTTAGAGTCACAAGTGTCACTCCTCTAATGGCTTCCAAACACCAAGAGCAAATGGAGAAGGTATAAAGAGAGAGGAGAGAGGTTAGAATTCGTCCTTAGGACTTCTTGGGAAGGGATACCCGAATTCATGAGCCAAGGGGTGTTTATATAGGTGTAGAGATAGGGTTTCAGTCATTATCCTTATCTAGTTGCTTATCCACAAAGCAACCCATAAGATAATCATTGAATCCTTATCATAGTCGACTTCTAGTTCACCCTAATAATAAGATAATCCTTACCTTATTTTGTAACTATCACATAATTACAAATCAGCCCCTCTAGTTTAATTAATTACAGTTGATCACAAAATTAATTCCTAATTAATTATTGACCAATATTAATTAAATAAATATGATTTCTCCTTTAATATATTATTCTTATAACATATTAATAAATCATATTATCCTCTCTATATATATATTTCTCCAATCAAGTTGCTTTGGTGAAGGCAACCCAAAAGGACCATGCACCATCGGGTCAAGTACATACCAAAATAGTTATGGACTTAGACACTAATCCAACAGTATATTCCAACTAAAGATGATAAAATTCAGTTATTCATGGAAGGACTACGATATGAAATCCGAAATTTCGTGGTTAATCGAGATGTTCTGTCATTTGATAAAGCTGTTGAGTATGCCCGAAAGCACGAGCATGACTTAGAAATACATGGTGCTACTCTTTCTGTTCTGAAGAATCCACTTATTGATCGAACAGTTCCTGTTTCCTCTATTCCATCAGCTCAATCCATTCGATCTGAACCTAGCAAACAAGTGCAATCTCATAATACCTCTCGTGGCCGTGGTAGGTCACAATCTCTTTCTCTTCAGTCACCATCGTGCCTAAATTGTAGAAAGAATCATCAGAGTGAATGCAGATTAGAAAAAAGGATCAGTGGTCTGTTATGGGTGTGGAGAAATAGGCCACATGAAGCTTGTTTACTCGATGCAGAATGTTACATGCTTTGCTTGTGGTGTTACTGGCCATAGGAAGTGTTTATGAACTACTCATACTAGTCAAATGGCGGGGAGTCAAGCTTCTGTTCGACAACCAAAGAGTACTCTAACTAAAAAGGAGGAGGTGCCAAAAGCTAAAGGTCATGCATTCCAAATTACCACGGAGGAGGCACGTGAAGACCCAAATTTTGTGACCGGTACATTTCTAGTCAACTCTAGACCTACTCATATATTATTTGATTTTGATGCCTCAGATTCTATTGTGTCTCATGAATTTGCACATTCCTTTCTTATTTCTTGCCATGCACTTACGCAACCATTTCATGTAGATACTGTGGGAAGTATATCATTACTTGCTAATAAAGTGTATAGGTATTGTGTCATAGAAATTGAAGGTTATAATTTTTTTACTAACCTGATTCCTATCTCCTTGACCAACTTTGATATTATTCTCGGCATGGATTAGTTGTCAAAGAACCGTGCAGAACTCTTATGCTATGAAAATATAGTACGTATTCCTATTGAAGGGGAAAATCCTATTTATATCTATGGTGAACAAAGACTTAAAATATTTAAAATAATCTCTTTCCTAAAAGCTTGTAAATTTATATCGAAGGGGTGTTCTACTTATCTGGCCTATACAGTTGATATCTCAAAAGAGGGGAAGAAAACTGTAAATGATATTCCCTTTGTTAATGAATATCCTGATGTTTTCCCCGATGAATTTCCTAGATACCTCATGATAGGCAAGTAGAATTCCAAATTGATCTTGTACCTGGTGCTACTCCAATTGCAAAGACAC